TCATGATAAATGTGTAGATAAAAGCAAGTATTACTTATTAAATAGTTTAATTAGTATAGTCATAATAATAAACTGCATAATTAAATACTACCTGTTAAGGTAACGCGAATAAGTCTTGGACGGGGAGGTCCACGATAATAAACTCGAATTTTGAAAAAAAATCGGAGCAAATTCGTTAAATATGATAAGACGGAACCGATGCGAAGAGACGAAAAAAAAAATTTCGAACTATCAAGGCCGCCGCAAACTATCGACATCGCCGGGGGACGGGTTCGAACTCGGGACCCCGAGTTATTTGTCCTATGCCTACACCTACCTAACCGCCTATCGAGATGACAACCGGAGTCAAATCTACGACTCTTAAGCCGCGTCGCCGTCCACCCGTAACGGCGTCTGCGTCCCCCGAAGTGCGTCCGAGCGGGGGGATCGACCGCGTGGGGAAGCGGACGACCGTCTCCGACCGGCTTCGGACGTTCAAATCGGTGAGATTCGCGAAAAAAATTGAACTCAAAAAGTATTTATGCCCGTATATAGCGATACCCATAACTCTCGTTTCCGCGTCGCCGCTCGTCAGAGGCGCCGAAGTCCATGTTCATGTATGGCGGTTGCCATACATATAAGACTTTATTTAGGGGTGGGTACCTCTCAGCCCGTGGCCGTTACAGTAAATAATAATAAATAATAACCAACTATAAATAAATTATAAGTACTGAATTCGATTGGAATGATGGTTGTGACCATAGAAAACATATTATAATATGGTTGTGACTGTTGAATTGCAGTAAATAGTATTGATTTCCCAGTAAATAATATTATATTATCGGTATTTATCATTAGCTATCTATAAATCTAATCGCTAATGTGTTTATAAATAATATTCGTCGCGGCGTGCCGGCGTAGTGTGTCCGACGCCGGTGAAGTCGCGCCGCGTCTAGTATTCCCTAGGTTAGGTTATTATTATGGGTTATTTTTAGTCTAAAGTATCCTTTTACTGATAAGTAATAACAGTGATAATCTGAAACAACCTTGAACAAAAAGTTGAAAAACCGTTTGTAACCTGCGTTTAAAACCTGTGTTCACTGTTCAGTGTGAAAGTCATACTTTTCAACATTTGTCTTTTAGCTCTTAGTTCTTACCAAATTCAAGTCTGTGTGTTTAAATTTTTGGTATACTAATAGTAAAAAGTGAATAATTCAGTTGAGTAATGTCGAACTGTAAAACTGAATTTGTTTGTGCGTGCGGAAAAAAAAGATTAGAATTGAACTTGACAAATTGGAACCGGCATTTATCATTTTGTAAAGTTGCAAAATTAAAAAATAAAAAGATTTGTATGGATGTATCAAGTTTTTTTCACTCAAAACGTGAAATAAAATTACAAAAGTCTGAAGATTCAGTTACAAATAAAAAAAGTATGTATAAATGTATAATAATTATTATTCTTGTTATTTTAAATGTATTTGCACTATGCCACTATAATAGTACTATACTAAAAACTCAAATGATCATATTTAAGTATTTAACCTAGTGACTAGTTGTGTGTTAAATTAATATTTATTTTTAGTCAAATTGGATTCTACTGTGGAGGCGGATAGTGCCAATGTTCACAATGATACTTCATGTGAATTGAATAAAGGTAAAAATTTATTTATTTATAACTATTCTGTCATTTTATTAAAATTTCAAACATTGTGAATTGAGACTTTTGTTGCCATCAATATACAAATATTGTTTAAATATTCAGTATTTTACATATTATGGTCACCAAAATGTTGATTTTTTTTACATAATAAAAAGTACAAAATAAATATAATATTTAATTTTTAGTAAAATTGGATTCTACTATGCAGGCGGATAGTGCCAATGTTCACAATGATACTTCACATGAATTGAATAAAGGTAAACATTTATTTATTTATAATTATTGTATTCATTTGTCATTTTATTAAAATTTCAAATGTTATGAATTTAGACTTGTGTTGCCATCAATATACAAATATTGTTTAAATATTCAGTATTTTACATCATATGGTCACCAAAATTTTGAATTTTTTTTACCTAATATAAAGTGCAAAATTAATATAATATTTAATCTTTAGTCAAATTGGATTCTACTATGCAGGCGAATATTTCCAATGAAAACAATGATACTTCATGTGAATTGACTAAAGGTAAACATTTATTTATTTATAATTATTTTTGCCATTTAGAATTTAACATTTTATTAAAACTTCCATTGGTGTAGCCAGGGGAGAGGCTTAGAGAGATAAAATTATTTTTATAGTCTATGGTAGTTGCTCAAAAAGACTTTCATTACATTTAAAATATTTAAAAATTTCTAATACAATATTATTAATATATAAAATTATCTAATATAAAAAAAATATTATTTGTAATTACACTTATTATACTATTTTATTTGCTATTACTTATGACTTTATGAGACTGTCCACAGATACGAGATTGTACTATTTAATTTGTTTTGTTTATACTGTTATTTTACTTTTGAATTGTCTATAGTTTGAGAATTCATTTAAACTATTGTATAATTAGCTTATTTGAAAATATTTTATAAAACTATTATGAATAAAAAGTTCTTTGGTTAATAAGTTAAAACATTGTATTTTGTATGTTCTTTTTCAAATAATTTTAAAAACTGTTAGGTTTTGTTTACAAAATTAAAATAATTACCTTTAGCCTATTCAAAATTATTTTTGACTATGGAAGTATAGCAATTTGCAATAATAGTATAATTCATATGTGTTTATTTATTTTTTTTTTTAGAAATATCGGATTATGTTGACACAACAGCCAAAGTTGATAATGAATTGTGGTCTGAAGAGTTAAATGTTATTAAAAAGGTTGATCAACAAGAAATATTTCCTAAAGTGGCTGAAGGATGTTCTCTTAAAACAAGTGATAATGAAAATAATATAGATATTGATGGAAAACACTTTAAAAATGATCCTGCACATTTCATTAAAATGCCACATTTGACACCAGAAATTAAAAATATTATTTTAACATTTGGTCCTTGCCAACCATTACCAGATGATCTGCCAAATAAAATATTTCCATATGACACTGATAAAAAAGAAAAAAGAAGTTTTAATGCAACCCATTATTTTAGATATTTACCAGATAAAACAAAATGTCACCGTGATTGGTTATCTTACTCTCCAAGTTTAGATAAAATATTCTGTATACATTGCATGTTTTTTGGAACCAATCTACACAGCAATTTAGAAAAGTCTTGGACCAAAGAAGGTTTTAACCAATGGAAGAATTGTTCATTATGCATTCAACGGCATGAATTAACGCCAGATCACGTAACATCGTCATTGAAGTTTAAACTACGCCAAACAAGTGTACCCATTTTACCAACTCTTGAATACCACAGAAAAACTCAAATAGCAGCAAATAGACAGGTTATAAATGAACTTATTGACATTGTTGTATTTTTAGCTCGTCATAATTTGGCATTTCGTGGCAGTGTTGAGAAATGGTCATCAAATTCCAAAGGAAATTTTAAGGATTTAGTTATGCTTATGGCCAAAAACTCAACTCCACTAATGGAACACATACATAGAATTCAACAAAATGGAAAACATGAGGTGTCTTTTATTTCATGGCAACGACAAAACCAAATTATTGAAGCTATTTCAGAAGATATTACAATACAAATTCGATCTTCAGTGAAAAGTGTGAAAATGTTCAGTATATCAATTGACTCCACATTTGATGCATCACGTAAAGAACAAATTTCATTTATAATCAGGTACCTACTGCCTACTTAAGTTTTATTTATTTTTACTACCATATTATACATATCAGTTAGGTACTTATGTAAAAGACTTTTTTTTAAATGTTTGTGTTTTAGGTATGCTGATGAAGTAACCGGTAACATTCATGAAAGACTTTTGGCTGTGAAGGAATCACCTGTTACAACCGGAAAACATTTATATGACATATTTCTAACTGTTATGGTAGCTGAAAATTTGAACTGGAAAGAAGATTTAATTGGGCAATCATACGATGGAGCGAGTAACATGCGAGGTTATTATTCAGGTCTTCAAGCTCATATCAAAAATGAATGCCCTCAAGCATTATATGTATGGTGTCATTCACACCGTTTGGCCTTAGTTGTAAAACAAGCAGTATCGTGTGAATTGAACTCAGTAGATTTATTTGGGAACCTAGAAACTTTGTATGCTTTCCTCTGGTGTTCTAAAAAAAGAGCAGCAATTTTTAGAGAAACCCAGATTAAATTTTGTAAATTGAGAAACAAAAAAACTCAGCCAAATGCTGTTAAAAGAGTAAGCACGACAAGGTGGAGTTCTCACTCATCAGCATTAAATGTAGTGTTAAAGCTTCACAGTGAAGTTTTAGAAACTTTGAGTATAATTAAAAAACAAGAAGGGACTTCAGATGCTGTTGTTGGTGCAAGTTGCAGTGGTTTAATCACATATCTTTCATCAAAGCGTTTTATATTAACAGCATTAATATTTAAAACAATATTTGATGTACTTGAACCGGTTACTCGTCAACTTCAATCTCAAGATATGGACATGCTGATGGCCACAAATATATTAAAAAATATTATTTTTCAAATTAAAGAACTGAGAAATGACTGTGCATTTGAAAAAATACTTGTAATGGCTGATGAATTTTTTGAAAAGAGTGAAATTGATTTTTTGCCTCTTACATTAGGTCGTACAAAACGTGTGCCAAAAAAATCAGGTAAACCTATTATTTAATTACTCTCTGATACAGTTTTAATACCAACTGTTGTTTTTCTATAATAATTTTGAGTATTTTATTTATACATTTTATTACTATTTTCAGATGAAAATACTCAAGATGAACCTATACTGAGTCCAATAAAAAAAATTAAGGTTGAAACATATTATGTCATCATAGATATTACATTGTCAGAGCTAAGTGAACGATTTGAGTCAACAAATATTGGACCGTTGAGAGACCTTTCTCTTCTTTCATCTAGGCGTGTTCGTGAAATTCAAAAAAATCAACACAATGTGCCATGTGATGCCTTTGAAGCCTTGTGTTCTATATACACACAACTGGACAGGAATGCATTATTAACAGAATATGAAGAATTTTGCAAAAATTTTACAGAAATAGAAAATAGTGTTGTAATTCCAAAATATCTTCATAAAAATGAACATTTAATTGTTGAGGATGAAATTGATGAAGATTCCCTAGATTTTAACTCATTTAGTTATAATGATGATATTACAAAAGACTCAACAGAAACTGTAAATGATGTTCATAATATAGCAAGTACAAGAGGACTATTTAAAATATTTTGTTTAGCTAAACTATCAAGTATTTTTCCTAATTTATACTTAGTTTTAAAATTATCAGTTACGTTACCTGTTACAAGTTGTAGTGTTGAGCGTAGCTTTTCAAAATTGAAACTTATAAAAACAAAATTGAGAACTAGTATGTCCCAAGATCGTCTTGAAGGTTTAATGAAAATATCATGCGAATATGATCTAAGTATAAATTCTGAAAATGTAATTTTATTGTTAACAGCTAAAAGTCCATACCTTGCTAAATGTCTCAACTATTAATTTGTAAAATAAAAAAATTAAATTTTATAAACTAAAACATTTAATAATTTAATTAGGAATAAGGAAATATTTAATATATTTAATAAGGAATGTTATGTTATTAAGTCCTACTGTGTACCTATTAAGTATTTAAAATAAAAAGAAGCACAATGTATTTAAAATACTTACTTATAATTATCAAATTAATCAACTGCAAATTATTTTTTGATTAGATAAAAATATAAAAAAAAAAAAATGATTGATAAAAATACATTTTTGCTTAGTAATATGAAATTTAAAATGTCATTCAACAGAGTAATACACTTTAAAAAAATGTAACGATGAGCAAACAAGGAGAAATATATATTTTTCAAAAACTTTAGTGTTTTGCTCTAAATGGATCACCCCGTGTGTGTCTACTGAATTTAAAAAAATATTTATTTATGTAACCTATATTGCAATATCAAACTTACTAATTTCATTTCAAAAACAGCAAATATAAGCTTCTCCAACAAAAACAACTAAACTGAACATAGGAGTTTCTCTCAGTTTGACCTATAAATTGAAATATTTCAATAATAAAACAACATTAGGTAGTTTGAATAACTGTAGCATTTGTACGTCATCCTTTAGTATTTATTTTTGATTTGAAATATTGATCTACACAATTTGGCAATTGGATGAATACTAATAGATACTTATAAGTTATAAATTTATAAGCTAGAAACTAGGTTAAAATTAGAATTACTTTGATACTATTTGTAAACAATTTTTACTCGTGAAATGCATAATCATTTAAAATGTATTATACACACAAATACGATTTATTATTTCAGAAGAATAAAATATGTCACCATTTTTGGTAAATAATATTCATGTTGCAAATAGTGCTAAAGAATCTATGAAGGAAAAACGAATTAGAAAATAATCAACACATGTTTTAATAATAATAATACATTTTACAATAATGTATAAAAAACTTAACAAAACCAGGAAAAGACTAAAAATACAATTAAAAATAATACAATTAAAAATGGTCTCTAAAAAAACGGGAACAATAATTATTATGATAAAGATAATTGTATTGGGAAAATGTTCTGGAGGTACATTTAAGATACTATTTAATACTATATTATAAAATACATAAAGAAAAACAAACAATAAAAATTTTAACCCTCGAAGTTTTTAAGGGTGAATACAATATTTTAACATATCAGATTTATTTGAAATTGTAATTTTTTTTTGTTCACTCTGCGTGTCGTCTCGTTAAATTTAATAACGCGTATTTACAAAACAACAAAAATCATCTAAATCAACTAACGTACATACATCTATTTCAGATAATATATTACCTTATAACATCGTTTCTCACATATTATCTCATCCCTTTTCTCTCGCATTCTCTCATTCTCGCTCTCGTTTCCTATCTTTGTTTTTTTTTTCTCTACGTTTAACATGACAATATTATAATAACATGACGTGTGGGAGACGCTCTATTATTATATTATAATATACAATACATTAGTGACAACTGAGTCAGCTCCATCGATCTTATCGTACCGTTGGACAAACGTACACGACAATGTGGTGATCATAATAATAATAATAATAATAATAATAATAATAATAATAATAATAATAATAATAATATGTAATAATAGTAATAATTATGTAAAAATACATGATCCGTGATTCCACGATGGGTGACCGGAGTCGTCTTCAATGGGTGCCCCCGACGGCTATGCTGCAGACTGCAGATCGTGAGTGGCGTCTATTCTCGTGAGGTAAGTAGTTGATTTCGGGGGATGATGGAGAAGAGGGTATAGGTAGTCTCTCCATCGGATTGGATGCAAACAGCGGTGACCGGTAGTACAGTTCGGAACGGATGGGCGGGGTTGTCCGCGCAGGGGGGGGGGG